GTTTTTTTGTAGCTGTAAAATCATGTAACCTGCTTATCTTGCTCAAAAGACGTGCTACGGTGTGTCTGATCAACCACGATACACCACATAAAAACGGCAGCAACAACGTCAACTGTATTGAAACTGTAGCATCATTGTTTGCAGCTTTGATAACACCCTACCCGTCTGTCTGGCGCAGGGACGTGCTATAACGTGTCTGAAGTAGCAAAAACATCCTCTCCATTTTAACTATCGCAATGTTGTATGCAACTGCGATAATACGCCTCGTGCATATCCGCTCTAGTAATCGGATTTCTGCACGTCAGACAAAATAGGTCGCACAGTTTTGAATGCCAACAGCGTCAACCGCATCAAACTTGCCGACACGTTGTTGGCAGCTGTATCAACACTAAACCCGCTTATCTGGTTCAAAAGACGTGCTACGGTGTGTCTGATCAACCAAGATACACCGCATAAAAGCAGCAACAACGTCAACTGTATTAGAACTGTCGCAACATTGTTTGCAGCTGTGATAGAACGTTACCTTCCTATCCGGTGCAAGAGGTGGGCTACAAGACTAAACATCTTCCGCACGCGGAGTATTCTAGCAACAGGTTTCGCGGGTATTCACAACACCTAGCCTGGTACATATTGTGCGTGTAAATTGATTGATCAGATGTCATGGAGGATGACAATTAATGAATCATATATAGATGTTGAGCAACCCTCATCGCCGCGACATTGATATAGACTTCCTTAGACGTGTTAACATTAATCGTATCTTTGGAAAAATATGGCTTGCATCACCGCTTCTGAGTGTGTGACATAAAATTGTGGATTGCAGGTTTCGTCACGCACGAGCTCGTTTGAGTAGGGGAACTGATAGCTGTATGGGCGCGACAGAGTTGATGTACCTCAGCAATTCTGACGAGGAAGGTAGTGATATCGTTACAATCAAGCAGCAATTGGCTCTCGCAGATGGTTTTTAAGCTGTTAAGTGCGTGCCTTCTGCACCATCAACTTAGAGGCACGGTGAGTAACACAAGAGAGTTTTAAATTCCCTCGCGATAATCTGACGACTCCCATTAAGTTCAGGACGGCCTACTCAATATGTATTAAAACTGTACCTCGTTCAGTTAATGTTATATATTAAAATCAGTGCTAGAATGTGCAATGGTCTTCTGGTGACTTGAGTTACAGTCCCAATGTTGTTGGTAATCGCCTGCGAAGTGCTGGAATTACCAAGTCGTGGGCTTATCTGATGAATGCCGAAGCTTCGCACGTTACGTACGCTCGACGACCGTAACCGGTAGCCATCACAGAGAGGTATTAAAGATGCTTCATACGGAGGCCTCTGCAAATAAGGATGCTTTGAGAAAATTGCACTTCATCTGCGTCATGCCTCATTTCAAAAATATAAACTCATAAATCGCAGTCCACGGAAGGTCGGTCGCCTGTAGAATTGTGGTTCTAGAGTCTGTTGAACAGCCTTAAGCCCTCGTTATCGGTTATCAATATTTAGACTGAAGATGGTGCCAGAGGGCATTCGCAAGCTAAATGGTAGAAGCAGTGACTGCTTCTTCCGATAATCAGTAAACATTGAATCTTAGCGCAGTGAATGTCCGTAGAAAGCAAGTTTGCTGTTGCGGATGTCAACAATTCGGTCACATCCACCGCGATTGTCTACGTGAGAAACGAACCTATCAATACGGTCTTCGTTGGAATAGATCTATGACGGGGTTACACGAAACCTAATGACAGGGGGATGGGCACACAGGATGTGCATGATGTAAACATACACCCAAACAAAAATACGGTATGGGGCTAGGTAGCCAGTAGTTATGCATGTATCTAGATTCTACTATATATATTTAGTATATGTAGGAAAATTTAAACTTTAAAATTAGGATGAAAAGATAAAAAATCAGTTTGGAATTTAAGCTGAAGTGTCGATTAGCCTTAGGAAGGCAATAATCACTCTTGGAGCAAGCGGATTGCGATCCGCTAACTCATACTTGGTTCTTGTAGAAAACGAAAGGACAAACGTTTAAGTGCGTGAACTGTTGCCACCGTGTTAAACGGATGCGTCTGGCGTAATCAGGGACGATATGGCACGTCTGGAAGCGCCACAGACATATGAGACAGCGTCAAACAAAAGAATGCTAATCAACCTAGGTACGAATCGCGAT